TTGACTGATGGTATTTGTAAATAACTTAAAGAACCTACGTGTTGATGTCTTTAAGCATCCCATGATGCACTAGGGAGACTTACCAAAACCGCACATATGTGTGAGCCATATCGGTGCATAGGTTGGGTTTTTACGTTCCAAATGAACTATATCGATAGGCCTGTTTGGCTTTGATAAAATAAACATAAAAAAGCGTGTTAAAAACTTAGAGGGGATAGTATATTTTAGACAGTTACGTTTTACTATTTGAAGGGACGAGTTGAATTCTTTAATTTTATAAGGGAGTGAATTTAACCAATAATACATTGATTTTATATAAATTCAGTTTTTGTGAAAGTGTTGTTCATTTAAATAGGTATGTCTTTTCTATATTTAGTTATTATAATCTGAGGTCACAAATATCATAATGAGTGGTTAATTATTTAATATTTAATTTAAACTATATTTTATTATTATTATTTTAACTTGTTCTTTGTGAGAGAAGGAATTGTTTTATCTTTGAGGTTGTGGTTGGACAACCAAATTACAAATTTATTATAATCATTATTTTATGTTTATAATTATTATATTTATATTACATTTACTTTACTATTTACATTTACTATTTTAAGAATAAGAAGTCTGCAAACTTTAAATTAAAATAGTCGTTTATTAAAAATATAAACTTAAACAACAAATAAAACTAAAAGTAAATATAATACGTCTTAATACACCGACGGTCGCGTTAAATCTGACTTAGGTACTATTACAAATCTTTGGGGTTACTTCACATTCACACGCATCTATATTAGTCTTTAACAAACTTTTACGTTATCTACACTTTCACACACATATTATCATTCCTAGACCCTTGCGGTCGTTCGAAAACACCTTATTAAACTTTAACACTTGACGCCTAATTTTAACCTACATAAACAAAAGTCTTTAATTTTAAACTTTCTCACAGAGCCTGGAAAAATTCCGATCCTACATTCGGCCATCCTGCAATGACCTCTGTCCTCAGAGGTTGTCCTCGGCTTCTTCGTCGCTGGTTAGGACACCCTCATCATAGTTGGCCCATGGCTTCATATTATCCGCCGAACAAGATGTTTCCCTGGCTCCTTCGTGTTTTTCAACTTTTATGACCGTATAGCGATCATGTCGCATAACGCCATTAATCTTGTACGGTCCTAGGAATTTCCTGCTCAGCTTTGACCCAGGCATGAACTGCGTTCGTTTGATTGCCACCAGTTCGCCCTCCTTGTATTTAGTAGCTGCCACGCCTCCGGTTGTAACCCCTTTGGTTTTGGTTTTCCTCCTGCGTTTTGGCTATTTTCTGCTTCGCTGCCTCTCTTAGTTACGATTTTCCTCAAATCTGGTTTCCCATTCTTCTTTCACTAACTCGCGGATTCGCGGGTCGTCTTTAATACGCATATTTCCCCGTATTGCGACTTGGAATGTAATTTAAATATCGTTGCACATCTTCAACGTGTTTGTACCAATTTTCAGGGTGGGGGGCGGCAAGTTTTGTAGGAAGAGGGATTAAATTACGGTTCACCCTTTCTACCTGACCATTGCCCCTGGGTACGCCTGTCACTATTAACACGTGGTCAATGTTTTCTTCGATGCAATAATCTTTAACGGCACGTGCCGTAAATGCTGTCCCTCTGTCAGATATAATCAATTACCTCTGTGCTATCTGATGACTTTGTTGGATACAGCCACACAAATTTTGTGAATGAATCAACCACTACAAACAGATGCTGATATCTCTTCTTTGTTGCCGTCATAGGCCCAAGATGAACCACATGGTATGTGTTTAAGGGTGCATCACCTTTATTAATAGGGTTCAACAGCCCCTCTGGTTTTCCGTGTTTTCGCTCAGCCAGTATACAGTTAATACAATTTGACACCACTTTTTCTACTTTTTCGCCTAATCCAAAAGTCTCTCCGAACTATAGCTTATTCACACCAAAATGTCCGCGTTCATGAGCTTGGCGCACAACTTGTATTCTCATTGTCTTGGGTACCACTAACAACACATCATCTTTTACAAATTCATATAAGAGTCCATGTTGCACAACAAAACCGCGTAGTTTTGTCAATCTAGCCGGTCAAAAATCAATTTCGAAGAAATTGTCAAATGTAATGAAAACCTGGTTCTTATTGTTAAATAATCAGAAAACATCAAGCAACCCGTCCCGGTCTCTCATTGGCTGCACCCGCGCGCTTTTCAAAGTTGAAACTTTCATTATTTCAACTATACATTTATTACGCGGTTCCTCAGTGCGATAGTTATTAACAAAAAGTTAATATTTTATTGACAACTGATTTTTTTTTAATATTATTGTGGATATGGATCAAAGAGGTAATAACATAAAATCATTTTGATGTATTTTTTTTAATAGGATATTTATTTTTTGACGTTTAAAAAATAGTTTAAAATTTAAAAAATTTCTAACCTAATTTTACGTTTTAAAAGGTTTTTGTTGTATTTCCGGATTCTTCCCGGTTATTATGTTAATTGATTATAAGAGTTAATAGTTTATACAATATAATTATAATAAAAATAGCCGCCCATACCCGCCCGTTTTGTTGCTAGGGGTGACAAACCAAGACAGTGCAAAAAATAGGATTCAAATTTGAATTTTAGATTATAGTAGGAGAGGTCGTAGCTACTTTGACTAATACTTCATTTAATGTTAGTAAAATAAATAATTTTAGCCAGGCAGGGTTTGCGCGGTTGCAAAATTTCCTCACAATATTTTTAAAATTCAAAATTGTTATAAAAATTAACTTAATCCTATAGGAACTGGTTTTTGTGCATGGCACTGCCGTGTCACGTATTTAATAAAAACTATTTATAACCAAATATGGGCATATCAAATGCGAAATGCAAGTGAGGGTAGGAGAACATTGCCGCAGTAAGACCAACTCGTATTTTATTGTTTTAGTATTAACTAGTCCTTAACAATTTTAACGTGATAATTATTTGCTTTTAGGATCACCTGGTTGCTCAGGTATTAAAGTAGTGACCTGTAAATCACTTTTTCTACAAGCGTGCGGAAAGTTGCTACTCTCCGCACGCATAACTGTGCGGAAAGTATCACTTTTCCGCACGCAAATACTTTCCGCACGCAACCCCGCAATTGTTAAGCAGAGTAGTAGCATTTCCATTATTGGTTTCTATGGTTTTTAAAATACTAAACATAATTAAGTCCTGAAACGTCAAGGGTTTGAGTTTAAAAATGGAAAGTGAAAGTGAAAATTACGAGATTCCCGAGTCTATCCTGGAAGAAGCAAAAAAAGCCAGCTTGGAATTACTTCCTGAAAAATCACGGGCGAGATACGAAAAAGAATTCAAAATATTTAAGCAATGGTGCGAAAAAAAAAACGTCAAAGGAATTAAAGAAGAAATTCTTCTAGCCTATTTTTCAGAGGCCAGCAAAATTAGTAAACCATCGACTCTTTGGTCGAGATATTCGATGTTAAAGGCGCTAATTAAAATAAGAAATAATGTTGACATAGGAAGATTTGCTAAACTGTCAGCTTATTTAAAACGTCAAAATGTTGGTTTTCGACCAAAAAAATCAAAAATATTCACTCAAAATGAAATTTCCAAATTTATTAATAAGGCACCCGATGATATTTATCTTTTAATGAAAGTCGCTACTATATTTGGGTTGGCTGGAGCGTGTCGTCGAGAAGAATTGGCCTATTTAACAGTAGATAACATCGAAGATAAAGGGAACTTAATAGTGATCAGTATTCCTGACACAAAAACCCATACGAAACGAACCTTTGTTATATCTAATGAGTTGAACGATGGTATGTACCTTAATTATTATAGAAAATATTCTGAACTGCGTCCTACAAATACAACACATAGAAGATTTTTCGTAAAATACGTTTATGGCAAATGTTCTACGCAATGCGTAGGTATCAATATGATTGGCAAGATACCTTTAAAAATTGCTACGTTCCTGCACCTACCAAATCCCGAGAAATATACTGGGCACAGTTTTAGACGGTCTTCGACGACTATTCTTGCTGATTCAGGTGCAAATATTACATGTATAAAACGGCATGGAGGTTGGAAATCCACTAGCGTGGCAGAGGGGTACATAGAGCAATCGGTGGAAAATAAGAAAGAAATATCCAATAAAATTTTAGCAAGTGTAAGCAGCTCCATGCCCATGCAAAATACCAGTCAGTCAGCATGTTCTTTGCTAGCAAATCACCCAGAAGAAAAAAGCCTTAGTTTGCCATCAACATCTGACATCTTAGCATCGGCAATAAATTTGCAAAACGCAACCAATTGCAGTTTTAGTATAAATATTACAAATAATTAGACTAAGTACATAGTTGTGTTCTTATTTAAAAAATGTCTTGTGTATTAATGTTAAAATAAAATGTTTTACATATTATTTCATGCGCTTGTAGAAAAAATATTGTACCTACCACGCGCGGAAAGTGTCTTTTCCGCACTCGACTGATGACCGAACTCCGCTACGCGTCGTTCGTTCAACGGCAGTCGCGTGCGGAAAAGTAGCACTTTCCGCACTAGTTAGGTAAATAACTATTTTGATAAAATGCAAGAGCAAAAAAAAAATACTTGGAAAATTGGATTTTTTCGAGAGAGAATTATTCTGATGATGAAAGAAAGGAGTTAAAGCATAAGGTTTCTCATTTTAAGTCGGAATTAAAACAAAGGTGGAAAAAGCAGATAAAACGGAAGCTAGATTCCTTCATAATAACGACGAATGGCTAAAAAAACATTTGAAATACCAAGAGCGCAGTCTAAAAGTTCGGGTCGACCATCAAACCTGAGCTAAGCGAAAGAAGTAAGAGAAGGAAGACTGAAATATTACGTAATTCAACGGATAATGATGTGTTGATTCATGCTGCACAAACAAAATTACTAACATCTGAAAAAAAGATGATTCAAGTATACTGAAGCAAATTATAAAGTCTCCAACGAGAGCTACAAAGTTAAAAAAAAGCTTACAAAACAGTACAAAATGACAAAAAAACAGCTAACAGCCCTTTCTGTATTCGTCGAAGCTGATCTCTCTAGGCGACAATATGAAATAGTACGAAGTACTAGTCAAAAGTTGTATCCAAGTTATAGCATCCTACAAAAAGCAAAAAGTGACTGCTATCCGCCCAAAGAGTCGTACGAAGTGACTGAAACATGCGCACAAATAAATCTTCAAGAATTGCTAAACCATACTACAATAAGATTACTGACATATTTGAAAGATGTTTTATGTGAACTAAGACCAGATGAATGTAATTCATTAAACCTGTTTTGCAAGTGGGGCTGTGATGGATCACAACAGGCACAGTTCAAACAGACGATGGAAAATGATGCCACAGATTCTAACATTTTCCAAAGTAGCTTTGTACCACTTCGGCTGGTATTTGGTGCCAAAACAATATGGCAAAATCCAACTCCATCATCTCCACGATATTGTCGCCCCATTAGAATCAGATTCGTTAAAGAAACTGTGAATATAACTCAAGAAGAAATTAGGTATGTGGAAAATTCCATTAGCACCCTACAAAATACAATCTTTCTAATGGAGAATAAGTCGTATTCAGTAAAGCATACAATGGTAGACGCAAAAGTATGTAATGCCGCTACACAGACCACGTCAACAATGAGGTGCTACATTTGTGGCGCAACATCAAAAGAATTTAACGATTTAACTATCAAAAAAGATGTTGATGCGGACGCACTTTCATTCGGATTATCCACTTTGCACGCCAGAATTCGTCTGTTCGAGAGCATATTGCACCTTTTATATAAACTCACTGTAAAAAAGTGGCAGTTAAGATCTGACGGTGACAAAGCTATTGTAAAGGAGAGAAAACAAATTATCCAAGAAAAATTTAGACGTGAAACTGGCCTAATAGTGGATGTACCGAAAACAGGGTTTGAGAATACCAATAACTGTATTACGAGTAGAAGATTTTTCGCCAATCCTGAATTAGCTGCGGAAATAACTGAAGTTGATTTTAATTTAATTTACCGACTCAAAGTCATCCTTGAAGTTTTAACAAGTGGTCACAAAATCCATTTGCACAAGTTTGCGGATTATGGCCTAGACACCGCAAAACTTTATGTAAGTTTATATCGGTGGCATCCTATGACACCTACGATGCACAAAATTGTTGTGCATGGTGCTACTGTCATAGATAAGGCATTGTTGTCAATTGGATTGCTCTCGGAAGAAGCCGCTGAGGCACGGCATTTCCGGCTGTATAGGCAGAATTTCGCTAGAAAATTTTCAAGGCCCAAGTGTAACGCTGATATTATAAATAGAGTATTACTCAGTTCTAACCCACTGATTACTGGCATGAGACCAATCCCCCCCAAAAAACATTTTCATTTACAAGGGAAGCAATTTCTTTGATGATTCCTGCTGTACCTGACATGGAAAATGACTCGGATTCCGATTTAAAGGAGGTTTCTGGAGAAACAGAAATTGATCAGGACGAGTAAGAATCATGGCATTAATTATCATCTTGCGATATAAATTACAGACATTTTCTTTGAGAAAAAAATAAGTTAATATTTAATGCAAAATGGTTTTATTTTACCCAGGAGGCCTTTTTAACTTAAAACAGATATTTCACTGCAAAAAAATACACATAATCAAAATTTAATCATTTTAAGGGTTAATTTATCGGTGCTAAAATTAGTCCCCCTCCCCTATCCTTGTGGGCCTGGAGGGGGGTCACTTTTAAATCTTAAATGGAAACCCCTATTTTTTTAGAGTATTCTGATTTTTGTGCTTACGTACGATTTTCTTATTTTTTTTCCTATCCTCCCACTCCCTGTAGTTGGGAAGTAACTTGGTTTAAAAAATAAATTTGACCATTAGCAATAAGAACTTAGAATTTTACTAGGAGTTAGGCAGATCATACGTATTTTTAGCACTAAAATCAGAATCCGTCGAAAAAGTAGGGGTTTCCAGTTAATATTTTAAAGTTACCCCCCACCCCACCTACAAGAAGTGGGGAGGGGGACTGCTTTTAGCACTAATAAATTAACCCTCCGTTATGATCAAACTTTGAATGTTTATTTTTTTCCAATGCTTTTTACAGGAAATATCTGAAAGTTTCAAGTTAAAAAAGCCACCCTGTATATTTTTGTTCAATATTTTAAGTCATTTTGAAAAACACTTAAAGTTAACCAGCGAGTTTTTAAAAATAAAAATAAATTAATAAATAATTTTTACCGGCTAGATCAGCAAAATACCCCTATGTGCAACGTGCGAATTTCTTCGTCTTCACCTTGCGCTTTTTTGAGGTTTACAATTAGTCCATTGTTATTATCACTTATTAGTAAAATACTTGGTAACGGATTAGGACTTAGTGCATCCACATGCTTCATGTTGTTTCCTGGTCTATGAGTTACTTCATAGTTAAACTCTTCTAACAATAACGCCCATCGCGCTACCCACACACAAGTCTTTCTTTTTCATAGTCATTGTAAACGATTGACAATCCGTATATATCTTAAAGGGAATTCCTAGCAGTTAAACGCCTTCACAATAGCCAACACTTCTAATTCGTAACTAGAGTATTATTCTTCAGCGCCCGTCGTTTTACCACTCGCATAATAAAACGGGTGAAATTGTCTGTCTACACTGTCGCGTTGCATTAATATAACTCCGTAACCACGTAGTGACGCATCCGCATGAAGCTCCGTATCAGCACCCACACGGTATAAACGTAAAAATGACCTGTTAGTTAGCGCTGTCTTTAAAGTTTCAAAGGATTTTACTTCACCCACTTTCATTCTTTAATAAATCTGTGAGAGGTCTTGCTATTAAAGAATACCGGGGTATAAATTTACGAAAATATCCTGTCAACCCCAGGAAACTTCATCACCGCTTTTGTCTTGATTTCTGACGGCCGCACTGAATGGCTACTCACAATATGAACTAGATATTCAATTTCCTTTCGTAAAAATTAACACTTATTCCAATTAATTTTTAACCCGTGTTTTGCCGCGACTTCTAACACTACTTTAAGTCTTTCGATTTCTTTTTTGTTATTATTTGCGGGTATTATCACATCGTCGATATAAGTCACTACAATCTTACGTTGTATTAGGTCCTTAAACACCGCATTTATAAACTTTTGAAAATATGCCGGCGAAACACTTAGTCCAACCGGTGTGTTTAAAAATTCGTACTGACCGGTCGGCGTTACAAAAGCCGTGTATTTTTGACTCCGTTCTTCGACTGGCACATGAAAAAACCCATTTTCCAGATCGATCGTCGTAAATATCATTACACCTTGTAATTAATCGATCTGACCCTCTATAAGTGGCAGCGGGAACTGCACTCGTTCAATTTTCTTATTAAGTGCCCTCCATTTTTCTTTTTAACGAGGACTATTGGACTCGAGGTTGAAGGTCGAATTAGGCCATTGTCCAGTATAACAATTTGATTTCGTCTCTTTCTGCTGGTGACAGTCTTCTCGGTCTGGCAGCCACTGGAATATCGTCTTTCAGAATAATTTTCGTTTGAATCCCGACGCTACACGTTTTCTCGGGCTTATAACTTATAAGTTATAAGTTTTTATTTATTGTTTTCGTCTTTCGCGATTATTCAGTTCTTTAATCTGAGACAGATTCACATTTGTTACGTCTACTACGTTAATATTATATATTTCCGGCACATCTGGATTATCATTAACTTCGACTTTCGCAAAAATAAGGGTTCCTCTTTTTACTCTTAATTTCACCTTGTTTAAAAAGTATGTTCCTAAATTGCACTACTAACTACATGAAACGTAATAGGGTATTCTTCCCCATCGACTATAACTCTTGCGGAAAATTCAGCCATCGTTTCATTACCGATAGAGCCAAGTCCCTCGAATTTAACCTTGCGGTTTAGCAGCGCAGGTGATCCAATTTTGGCATAAAAGTAAGATCGCTGCCTGTATCTACAAGCGCCGTAAACTTTTGACCCCCTATCACTACGTTTTTCATGTATTTTTTATTCCTGGTCGCCACACAAGATTTGCTTCTTTTGCTTTTGTTGGACAAACTGTTGCTTTGTGTCCATGTTCGTTGCATTTAAAACACTTGACACCCTTGTCCTTCACTGGACAGTCTGCACTTACGTGATTTTTGTAACCACAATTAAAGCACCGCCTCGTTTTGTCGCTGCCGCAGCTGTGGTTGACACTGCCGTTTTCTTTTGGGTTCCTTTGCTGTCGTCTCTCCGTTCTTGCACCGCTTTGTTTTTCATTTCTCTTTTCATAACTTCATATTGCATAAATCTCTCCGCAATTTACAGCATTTTGTAGAGGTACTCCTGGTATGTTTCGGTCGTCCTTTTTTTTTCTTTCTTGCAACTTTGCGTGAATTCGATGACTATCTACTCGGTCGGCAAATTCATCTCTAGCGCTCTTTTCGTAAATAACGGATAGTCTGGCTGATCCTGTTAATAATCTTTTTGCGTATGCCACCTTTTGTACTTCGGTCCATATGCACATTTCGGCCATATCCTCAAAATCTTCGATCCACCGTCGCACATCAGCCTGGTCGTCTCCACTGAGTTTCTCGAGGGATTCCTCAACGTTCCTAAAGGTTAATTGCTCGCACGGCCTTGCGCGTGACCTGTTGCGGACATTCGGTGTTAACCTTTATTCATCTTCTTCGTCGTAATGGGCGTTGCGCTGACTGTTCTCAGCCCGCTTTTAATTCGTCGTCGTGTTGCCCGTCGTCTTCGGCGTCGTCTTCTTCTTCGTCGTCGTTTTGCCCGTCGTCTTCGGCGTCGTCTTCTTCTTCTTCGTCTTCGTCGTCGTGTTGCCCGTCGTCTTCGGCGTCGTCTTCTTCTTCGTCGTCTTAGTAGTCGTTGTCACCGTCATCTTCTGGTTCGTTTTCTCGAACCCCGTGATTTCTTCCTAAAGTCAAGTCAAATCCAAGCCGGACTCTACATAAACACAATTATGCGTTGTCCATGCTCTATTCACGTGATCGACGAAAATTGTTGCACTGGGCCGTATTCAAATATATTGAATCAATATTATTGATCATTTAATATTTTAAATTTATTTTTTTAAACTTTGATGGAAAGGTTTTAAAATATTTATAAAATTTATATTTTTTAAATTACGAAATTAACAAAATTTTGGGAAATAATTTCATTATTATTTTAAATTTATTTTTTTTTACTTTAATGTAAACTTTTTAAATTTTTTACAAAAATTATATTTTTTAAATTAACTTCACGAAATTTTTGAAAATTATTTTAAATTTATTGTTTTAAACTTTAATAATTAAAGTTTAATGAAAACATTTATAATAACCTCTTTTATTTCCACACTTAAGTGATTTCTTTTAGACCGTTTTTTAACTGGGCTTAAGTCCTCAAAATGTTCAGCTTCGTCTGTGCTAGACATCGCACTTAATTGAATAATAATAATAACAATAAAAACCAAATAACCAAAACAATGATAGCAATAACAACAAATAACGTTATATAACAAGTATTAATAATAAAACAATAACAAAAATAACCACAAAGGAAGGAAGGAAAACAAGGAAGTAATCAAACAATACGCTAATAATAACCGCAATGGTCATAATGCGGCCCTGGCAAGAATTTTCGGCACGCTTCACAACTCAGAATCGCCCAATAAGAACCGTTCTATCCACCTGCAAACGACTGATCACGCGTCTGGCGTTTTTTGTTTTAGTCCGTCTTGGATTTGACTTGACTTTAGTGTTAGCGCATCCATAAGGCGATCCACCAGCTCTCGCTTTCTTCCCGACACTCGTAGTTGACGTCGTCTTAGCTCTTCTTTGAGCTCAGTCTTTGATGTCTACTAGTGATGCCGCGAGACGAGACGAGACGAGAAAAGTCCTTCTCTCGTCTCGTCTCGTGCAGCGAGAGAAAATGGGTCTCTCGTCTCGTCGAGAATACTCTTTTCTCGCTCGAGAGTTCCTTTCTCTCGTCTCGTCTCGTTTCTCTCGTGGTAAAAGTACCTAAGTATGAATACAAAAATTATTTGGAATGAAATCCGAATTCGTTTATATTTTTTCATATAGAAATTTAAACTGGAAATAAAAAAAAATGTGTGCAAAGACCACACTAATAAAGTAAGACTTTTTACGCCGAAAATGTCGCGCATTTGAATCAAATGGTTGGATCTATGTAGAGTAGTTTCATCTAGTATTATACTATAATAGGTGTTTTTTTTAACGTGAGACAGCTCAATATCTCGTAAAATTCGCATTTCACAGAAAAAAGGGAACATTATTTGGTGATACCGCTAGCCACCCCCTATCCCTCCTTAAGGGTGAAACGGGGGGTAACTTTAGAAAGTCAAATGCAATGACCCGATTTTTTTCACAGATTTTGGTAGTACATAAAAAAATGAATAACTTTAA